CATAGAATCAGTGTAGTATATCTGTGGGCAGGTATGTCTGGGGTACAGGTGCTGCAAACTCCTGAATTATAGATACATATTTGGAAACAATCGGCCCGAAGAGTATGGAGGTGCTAGTGAAAAAAACGGACAAAGCAAGAAGACAGAGAGCAGAACAGGTCTCATGACAGAATCTTGGGGAATACCACTCACTGTTCATAGTTAGCAGAGGAAGAGAAACCCATGAGAAGTCTGCAAGGTAAAGATCTGGAAGGGTGTATTGCAATATACATAGGTACTAAAATGGAAATATTGTCGACATACTGAAAGGGAGAGAAATTCATATGAAAGTGTGTCTAAGATTAGAGGTTCTGGAGTCAGCTCTTCTTAGATGTGCTTTCATTCATTGGCAAGTCATTAGTCCTGCTCTAACTCTCAGAATCTATACAAGATAATAGCATCTCACCTTGTTTTATTAGGGTCAAATGAGAATGCATTTAAAGTAGTCACATAGTTAGCATAAATGTTAAGAGTCAAGTAAGATAATACCTAAGGTTAGAGACTTGAACCATTCATGTTATCCCTAAGAGGGTAGGCACCATGTATAGATTGCTCATCTCAACACCTAGCAAAACAAGTATTTAAAATGAACTAATGAAGGATGAATTCTGAGGTGATTTTTACATTTCAGTTTGATAACAGGGGCTTCTTAAGGACTGAAAATGGATTACAGTGAATTGAAGATAGAGCCGTTTCCCCATGGAGACGGGTTATAGTCCACTCAGACTGTGAGGGGAAGGTAACACGACAACACTGGATGTTATTTCCACTTCCTGAAGGAGGCACGGGCTGGGAAAACAACAACAAATGACTTCCCAAGCTTTAGTTTCTTTACATATGAGTGATACTTAACTTTGAAGTGTAGCATAAGGATCATGAGAAATAAAATTTATATATTCCCATGTAAGAGAGTACTATATAAATATATTCTTTTTTTTTTTTTTTTTTGAGAAGGAAACACCGACATGTATTGTTTCACTTATTTATGTATTCACTGGTTGATTCTTGTCTGTGATCCTACTGGGGATCCAACCCACAGCCTGGGCTTATAGGGAGATGCGCTAATCTACTGAGCTACCTGGACAAAGCTGTAAAGTATTCTTATAAGTATTTTTGTCTAAGTTGAAACTAACTTTATTTTCACCGTTCTTTTGAGAGAAGTGGCATAAGGAAAGACACAGGAAAAAGCCATTGATGGAGTCAATAATGATCATATTTTTCTAACCCGGATGAAGACTGATGCAGCAGATATTTAAACAAGGGCTTCTTCTTCACGGAGGGCAGAGTGTCAGTGAGGGCAGAGTGTCAGTAGGTAAAAGGAACCATTTCTATTGACCTAATGAGAGGAATTGAACGCTGCTGATGGAATCTGCAAAGCCTTACATAATTTGAGGCACATCGAGTATGAATGTAGGATTAAGCAGCTGACAAAGGGTAAGAGATTTAAGAAGTAAGGTGCAGGATGTAGGGGAGGCTAAGAATTAGGGGAAATTTAAGGTTGCAGATAGGATAGGACTATGTGGCTAATCTAGTACAATGTGCATTTATGGTGTTGCCTGGGAATGTGCACTTTGACCACGGAAGTGAAAACAAAGGAAATTTGTGCAAGACATAGCACATGAACTATAGATAAATTATTCACCTGTAAGACATTAGATTTAGATAAGTAGATACATGTGCACACAACACAGGATGAGATGAAGGAGCAAGAGGCACCTAATATCCTTATTCGGTCTCACAGTAAGTATGTTTATTCACCAGAGGCATTCAAAATCCATCTCTCTTAAATTGGCCATCCATTGATTATGCCCATTCCAGCCTCACAGGTATCTCGATCAACTAGTGAAAAAAAAATTACTTAGCTGCTCATCAGGCTAAGGAGAGCTACTTTATGGCCAGAAGTACTTGCCCTCAGTGTCTGTGATAGCGCAAGCCCGTGTGATTGTGTCCAGGTGCCTTTTTTCTGCAACACCCTGGCCCTAATTCGACCTCAAATTCTGGTCCTCAGTCCTTGTTCTTAGTTATTATCACTACATCGAGCATCAGAGAGAAGGGTCAAGTGAACATTGCAACCCCTCCTCCCCTACTTGTGCCCTAGTCTAAGTGCATCAGCGTGACCCATCTCATTCCCCACGCTTCCTGCCCTGTGTTTAATTTGCTTCTAGCATCTTAATTTGGTCTGAGATTTTTTTTGTCGTGGTACTGTACCTGGAAGTAGTGTTACCTTTGCATTAAAGTCCTTTTCCAGGCATTTAACCTTCTAAAATTCTGAAGGGCACTTCCTTTTTGGCCAAAGAGTTTATATCAACCACCCAGAAACCAGGAACTGCTTAAAGAGAGACTGACTACCAGCTGCTGCTGCTTTTCAATCAGGTTACACTTCAACCTCACACCAAGGAACCTATTCAAATGCCTACATTTCCGTGTCCTTAGTCAACCAACTTCCTGTGCCGGAAGCTTTTGTCTGCCCCAACTGGTTCTTTATTTAACAAATTCCCTTTAAGTCTTGCTAGAGGCAAAGCTCACTTGGCCCTGGGAGCAATATTTACTTTACTAAAAGCCCCTCCTCCACTTCCCTCCGTGTCTGGCAGTTGTCTGCCTTTACCTTGGGTTTGCAGTTTTGGCCTGACTTTTCCCTGTAGACACCAACCTTTCCAAGTATTGCGTACAGTTACTCAGAACAGAATTAAATGTGTCTTTTACTGTGAGAATTGTGTGCTTGAAATTCACTAAGCCAAGTATATATTCCTCCCACTTCTTCCTTTTCCCTACATGTTCTTGTTCTTATCAAAGTAGGTAAAATGGGTGTGAGTTCCACGTGTTATAGGAAGGATGTGTGCTCTGTTGTGTACTTGTGCCACTTCTGAGCATTAGGTCCAGACTGAAAGTCAGAAGACCCAGGCAACTCAGTCCACTGTGCCGCTTCCCTTCAGGTGCAAACTGAAACGGAAATGCAAGATGAGAATTGAGACAAAGTGATTTTTAAAAGCTAAGAGACAGGGTGTGGCGAAAGTAGGTTTACAGTTGTGAATACACGAAAGTTCATTCTTGTATTAATTTCGTACAAACAACTGTAAACCTAACGTCCTACCCTGTATAATAAATCAACTAAAATATGACATTGGGAGTAATAATCACCTCCTTCCTTTCGGGAGGAGAATGGAGAGAGCAGGATTTTGAAGAGAAGTGAACAGATGGAGAGGCTGGCAGGTGAATTTATAATTAATTTTATCTTTACCCTATCTCCTACACTAGTTCATATTCTTGGTGATTCTGTGACCAAAAGGGATAAGCTAGAATGCTTTTTTTTTTTTAAACAAAAATAATTAGTTTTCTCCTGTTTTTTATATTGTATTTTTTTCATTACCATTTATCCCCCTTATACCCTTTTCCACCCCTTGCTACCTACCTCCCCTCCCCCTGAAAAACTTTAAATTAGGTTTTTACCTCTCCTAATTTCTTCAAAGTTTAAAAAAATGTTTCATTTATTGATTTTAATGAGAAAGAAAGGGAGAGAGACATCAACTTTTTTGTTCCACTTATTCATGCATTCACTGGTTGATTCCTGTATGTGCTTGACTAGAGATCGAACCCACAACCTCAGTGTTTTGGGACACTGCTCTAACCAACTGAGCTACCCAGCCAGGGCTCTCCTAATATTTTTTTGGCAGCCTCTTCCAGCTTTTGTGGTGACATCCTCACATAGATGATGAATTTGGCCCTCATATTTATTAGCTTAATTGTCAAAGAGCAATCTTTTTATCTTCTTAGGTATTAACTATACATTTTAAAGTTTTTAAAAACATATAAATGATAAACTTGTTTTTAACCGCTATTATCTAATAGTGCATTAATAAATTAGCCAGTTAATGAGTTCTTATTTAACCACAAAATCTGCAAGAAACAAAAGAAATGGCCAGTCCAAGAATATTGTGAAATGTCAAGTATGAAGTTCAATTTCTATTATTTATGAAAACATTTTTCCATATTTTAAAACATATCTTAACATGTTTAAAATGACAAAATGTTAGTAGCAACATAATTTGTGGTGGCAAATAACCCAAACAGAAACAACCTAAGTTGTAGTACACCTGTAATATATACTATGTAGCAATAAAAGGGAGTCAGATCTAAATATACTGATATGGAAAGATATTCCTGATATTTTCTAAGTAGAAAAAGCAGGCTGCAAAGTAAAATGCATAACAAATCCCATATTTGAATAGGGAGAAGTGTGTTATAATTCTGTTTATGTCATTTGTATGCATGAAAATATCTCGGAAGACATTAACAGTGATGTTAACAAAGTTAACTGTAATGATCTTGTCGTAATGAAGTTAATTTTTACTTATTAATTTCTTCCTCTCTCTAAAAATAAACATTTTTTTTAAAGGAAGATGCCCTGGCTGGTGTGTCTCAGTGGATTGAGTGCCTGGGTTGCAGGTCAGGTCCCCAGTAGGGGGTGCGCAGGAGGCCCCCCCCACATTGATGTTTCCCTCTCTCCTTCTCTTCCCTTCGCTCTAAAAAATAAAGCCTCTTTAAAAAAAGGAAGAAATGCTTGGATAGAGAATATTTGAGAAAGAAACTGTCTCAACCTTTGCCTAATAAACTTAGGAAAAAATGGAGAATCTTACTGTTTTTGCACGTACGATCCTTTCAAACATATTTCTAAATTCTGACTTGCAAAGTTGAAGATGTCATGCTTAGTGAAGAAAGTAGTTTTCAAGAGAATAGAATGCGTGTCCCTGGCCCGGTGGCTCAGTTGGTCAGAGCACCAGCCCAACACACCAGGGTCGTGGACTCGATCTCCCATCGAGGCACGTACAAGAAACCAGCAGTGAATGCCTAAATAAGCGGAACAATTTGATACCTCTCTCTAAAATCAATTACTTTTTAATAAAAAAAATACATGGTATAATCCTGTCACAAAGTATATATATATCCATTAAAATTCACACCTAGTGCTCGCTTCAGCAGCACATATACTAGAATTGGAACGATAGAGATTAGCACGGCTCCTGTGCAGGGAAGACACACAAATTTATGAAGAGTTAAAAAAAAAAGTACTTGTAAAACCACCCATATACAATAGCTGCAGAAAGTGTTTATCATTGAATAGATCTTTTTAGTAGATTATTATGTAGTTCTTAAATTTGTTTTTAATAGCAAGTTTCTTTTCATTTTACAAGCAGAACGTACAATTTTATTAAAAGATAAATCAAAAATGTTCGTTGGCCCTGGCTGGTGTAGCTCAGTGGATTGAGCATTGGCTGTGAACCAGAGTCGCTGGTCGATTCCCAGTCAGGGCACATGCCCGGGTTGCAGACCAGGTCCCCAGTAGGGGTCACGTGAGTGGCAACCACACATGGATGTTCCTCTCCCTCTTCCTCCTTCCCTTTCCCTCTAAAAATAAATATAAAAAATATTTTTTTAATGGTCTTTTCTTCCTTGATTTAATTTTGCTATTTGCTGCCTTAGGTTTTTTTTTCAATCTTTTCTTTCCTTTTCTTCTCCAGTATCCAGCATGATGCTTTGAAGGTGTCCACTTTGCTCCTCTAAACGTTCCTTAGTTCTTAGCCCCACCCTTGCCTGTTCCCAGTGTCTAATAAACCGAAGTTCATGCAGAACACAAGCAGTTAAGCAGGGCTGTGAAGAATTGCTCCATGACAGGAGCAAGTACTGCAGAGCGAAACTGACGTTTCCTGGGCTCAGTCACTTTGTAGTAATAGTTTGTTTTCCCAAGTTTCTAGGCTCTGGTTCACCATTTAGTATTTCCTCAAAATTTTTGTCTACTCTGTGCATTTAGTTAGAGCCAAACACTTTGTAAAAATGTTAGTGACAAATTTTCTTAAAAAAAAAAAAAGCTGTAGCCCTGGCTGGTGTAGCTCAGTGGATTGAGCATGAGCTGCAAACCAAAGGGTCACCAGTTTGATTCCCAGTCAGGGCACATGCCTCGGTTCCCAGGCAGGCCAGGTTCCCAGTGGGGGCCACCTGAAAGGCAACCACACATGGATGTTTCTCTCCCTCTTTCTCCCTCTCTTCCTCTCTTTCTAAAAATAAATAAAAATTTTAAAAAGCTGTAGTTTAATCTACTTTCATTTAATCTTTTATTCATACATTCAAAATTTAAGTGAAAAAGGCAGGTGGCAGGAACAGATGGATGTTTCTCAAAGTCACAACTGAATCTGCCCTTGAATTGTAAGACTAAAAACTGGCGACTTAAAGAATGGCATTTCGTATACTGTTTTTGTAGTTAATAAACTGTTTTGTTTGTTATCTACTTGGTTCATAATACAATGCTTGGCACAAACAGACACCTGACGGTTGAAAGGAACAGCATGTTGTCCTTCGGTCTTGGCAGACATGAATTATCCTGCCTTCCTTTTCTTCTGTGAAATGTCTAGGTAATTGGATTGGATGACATTATAGAGCAATATTGGAAAATTGGGAGAACCGTGAAGAAAACCTACTCTGGTTATTCTCTGCATCCCTGATGCTTCGGAGACCCGGAGGTTTCCATGGAGCCAAAAGTCATGAATGAAAAGTGCTCCCACAGTCCAATCAACCGGGGACAAGCCTGGGTGGGTAAAGGGCAGTAAAAAAGGGTTTATTAGTGTAAGTTATAGGGGACTGCTTAGATTCTTCTAAGATGAGAACATAGTTTACCTGAAAAAAAAAATTATATTTCAAACTAGCCCTAGCGTTTACTTATATATTGGTCTCTGATCCATTTTTTTTCCGTCTTAACATACTTATCAAGTCATACATTAAAATGACACATTAAATTCTGCTGTGTAGTTGGATCTATGAATTTAAATGTCAAAAAATAAAAACATTTTATTTTTAAAATGCTTAAAAATAAGCTTATTTCAACATAGTTACTTCTGGCAGGGTGTAACTTCACTGAATGAAGAAAAGCAGCCACAGAACGTCCTGTGTGATGTTCATTCTGGGGCTGCACCCCAGCGTTTGCCTCTCCCGGCTGCCTCCACACCCAAGAGCTCCGCTCCTCACTTTCCAAATCCTGCAGATGTGCCACTGTTCACTGAAAATAGGCACAGATTTTGTTTCAATATTACACATACCAGGAGGATGAAAATTTGTTCAGGTTAGTCAGTCATCTGTCATATCCTTGCTTTTTCTTTACTCATTTATGAAATAACAGTCTCCCCAGTGGCTAGAGAAAATTTCAGTTAAAATTCCCCCCATCAAAAATGCAGTAAATACCCATGTTGAGCAGATTTGTACTCATTAGATCACTGGGTGAAAGAAAGTAGGATAGAGCCAACTAATGGGAAAATGGATGTTTTATTTATTTGTATTTAAACTTATGAGCCAACCAGCCAAACTGGTAATATGATGATACAGCAAAATACAAAACATCTATCACAAATACTTGAGTAATAAATTGGGGTTGGTAGTAAAACAGCAAAAGGGGCAGAGGAAATCAGTGAAGTGTATTGGAGCGTAACCTCACTCTCCTGAACTGAGGTTTGTAATTGGCCTCCCGATCCCAGAAAACACACATAATCTTTCATTGCACGTCTTTGTACTTTTACTTTCTATTCTTTTTTTTTAGAGAGGGGAAGGGAGGGAGAAAGAGAGAAGCATCAATGTGTGGTTGCTTCTCACGTGGCCCCTTACTGGGGACCTGGCCCACAACCCAGGCATGTGCCCTGACTGGGAATTGAACCTGCAACCCTTCAGTTCGCAGCCCACATTCAATCCACTGAGCTATGCCAGCCAGGGCTACTTTCTATTCTTGAGTTTGAGATTCTACACCCTAGATTAATTCAAAATAGTATTGTATTTGATTATCTATAGCCAGAGGCATCTTATATGTCTATAGCAGCAAGGCTACAGAAATCTGATTAGACTCAGCATACCTCACCCCCACTGCTCCAAGCTGACGTAATAGACATAATGAGAAGCAGCCTGTCGAGGCAGAGATACATGGAAAAATCCCAGGAGAGATACAGCCACTGCCCAGATGGAGACTGAATATACCTGTCGTCACACTGAATGTTCAGATGTTTGTGGAGTCTGGCTGCATATTCACGTAGTAATCGGGGAATAAATCCGTGGGTTGCTGGGTGCTATAATACATAGGGGTTGGCAGTACTGCATCATAGCTTTCCCCAGCAGTTTCCAAGGTGACCTCTAAATCACTGATGGGAGGAGTCTGCTGGAACTGGATCTGGGGCTGCAGGGACTCTTCCCCGTAACTATAGAACTGATTGGTCCAGGCCTGATTGGTCCAGGCCTGGGGGCACCAGGTCTGACTATTGCAGGAATGGTAGTTCCAAGACGGGCTGTTCCAGGAATGGTTGCTGCAAGAGAGGTTACTGCAGGTCTGGTTGCTCCACACTGAAAGGTTTCCAGAAGCGTTCACCAGACATCCCTGGTGATGATAGGAGGAGAAGCCCAGATACTCTGTAGCTGCTGAGCTCATCTGAAAGAGAAGGGTGTGTTAACTGAAAGGGTACAGGAAAACTCAGAACTGTCTGTAACCGGCATTGTCTGCTTCAGCAACAGACAAAACTAAAATGTCATTGAAAGGGAAGAGCAGGAAAAAGGTTTCCTGTTACCTGAGTTAAACGGTTGCTGTTCTTTGGCCAGTTGTACTTCTGCCACCTCTTACATTTCATTCTCTGGTTCTGGAACCAGGTCTTAATCTGCAGGAAAAAAGTGACAGGACAACATAAAATGGTAGTAACGCAGATGTACTGGGGATCAGAATACTATTCACATTTCTCCTCCCTGACAACTACAACTATCTAAAGCTCAGGAACAAAATTTTAATTTCTGGAAGTCTGTCTAAAAACAGATGGCAAACCTATTAACCTGAAAGTGCACATTGAAATGTCTACTCATCTTTCTTTAGTTTACTCATGCCATTAGTCAGCCCTAATCTGTTTGCAATAAAAAAGCCCCCTCCCCATGAACACATCACATACCATACTTTGCTTTGTATAATGTGCACTTTTGCCCAAATTCTTGAGGGAAAATAAAGGATGCACATTATACATGGGTTGTACTAATTCCATATCTATATAAATGTTTTTAATTATTCTATTTATGCTTATGTGTTAAAAGTGTAACTCTAAAAAACATCCTGGCTGGTATGGCTCAGTGATTTGTCAGCCTATGAACCAAAGGGCAGCTGATTCGATTCCCAGTCGGGACACACGCCTGGATTGTTGGCCAGGTCTCCAGTGGGGAGTTCGCAAGAGGCAATCACACATTGATGTTTCTCTCCCTCTCTGCCATCCTTCCCCTCTCTCTAAAAATAAATAAAACCTGTAAAAAAAAGTATAACTCTAGAAAGTAATAATGATATCCATACGCAAAATAACAGCCCGGAATATGATAATCAATTTTGTTATAAAAAATTTCTTGTACATCGCATCTGTTCTTTTATTTTTGTACTTATTTGTTACACAAAATTTCTTGTACCATAATATGTTCAAAAGTAAATGCTAAAATTCCTTTATAGCCCTGGCTGGTGTAGCTCAGTGGATTGAGCACGGGCCTGCGAAACAAAAGATTACGGTTCGATTCCCAGTCAAGGGCACATGCCTGGGTTGCAGGCCAGTTCCCAGCAGGGGACACACGAAAGGCAACCATACACTGATGTTTCTCTCCTTCTCTCCTTCCCTTCCTCTCTAAAGATAAATAAATAAAATTTATTTTAAAAAAAAAGCAAGTATCTAAATATAAATAAATGAATCAATAATTAAAAGGAAAGGTTTCCTCCCTGAATGAGTGCGCATTATACACGGGACCACTTTATTCATGGAAAAATGCAGCACTTCATGATGATGGGGGCATTTTAACTCAGGAATTATGAAACGCACAACTAGGACAGTTAGAAAATATCAAGTTATATGGCAGGACACCATACACTAAAATTCCACATGGTTTGTAAACTTAGGTTAGGAAATGAGATCACGGAAGGACCAGACGGTGTGTATACACACATACACACGTGTAAAATAAGGCCGTGGACTGGAGGCCTTTCTAAGTACGGAACCACAGATAGAAAACGATAAAACATTTTACT